ACACACACACACACACACACACACACACACACACACACACACACACACACACACACACACACACACACACACACACACACACACGGAAACACAAATGCCAACACAATTAATTGTGTCTTCTGTTGTACGTCAGGTTGTTTTGGTTGTTGCCATTGCGGCTGTGGTTGGACTTGTGGTCATGGCTCGACTCGACCACCCGCTGCTGCGCCGTGTCCCCGCTGCCCACCGCATTGCAGCTTGGATTGACAGTCAGTTGCATCAAGCACTAGCCCGCCTTCCATTCAACATTCAACGGCAACACCCATTACAACAGCAGCAATCGCGGCAGGAGGCTGTGCAGTCGCGTCGGCGGTCTTCCGGCCGCAAGCGATCCTCTGTGCGCAACAAGACAGTTGCCGCGCAGGCCACCCAACCACATCAGCAAAACCAACAGCAGAGGCAGCAGCAGAGGCCGTCGCTAGCACCTGCTACTGCTGCAACCCCTGCCAACGCGTCCTCTGCGCAACAAACAACAACAGTACAGACGACAGCAGTGGAAGCAGAATTGAAAGTGCCCACAGCCAAGGCGCCGAGCGCTCGGAAGGCGGCGGCCTCTGTTGGCAACAAGAAGGACGAGTCCACACCACCAAAGGAGGTGCAACAGACCAAGAAGACGCCAGACCAAGCAAGCGGCGAGGCGAAGCAGCACAAGAAGCGGAAGAAGAACAGGAAAGGCAAGCAGAAGGCATCCATGCCCAAGGCGGATGACGCCCCACCCCGCGAGCCGCAGCAGCAGCAGCAGCAGCAGCAGCCAACCAACACTAATGCGAGGGCTTCTGCTCCGAACAAGAGCAAAGCTTCCTGCCTGCCGGGGAAGCGAGAGGAGTCAACAGCACCAACTACGGCCAATGCGACTGCAAAGGGTGTGTTGGCGCCGCGGCATATGAATGCCGCTGATGATGGCGGTGACCATGGCCAGCAAGGCGTGTCGAAGCAAGCGCCTCAGCAGCCGCAACAACCAAAGCAGCTGCAAGCATCGCAAAAGCCAAAGCTGCCAAAGCTGCCACAACAACCAAAGAAGCCAAAGCAGTCTCAACAAGTAGAGGAGCCCAAACAACCAATTGAGCCGCAGCAGCAACAACAACAACAACAACAACAACAACAACAACAACAACAACAACAACAACAACAACAACAACAACAACAACAACAACAACAACAACAACAACACGTGGGACAGAAGAGAGGGGGGAGGAAACGCAGGAACACCAAGTCAAAGCAGCAGCAGGAGGAGGAGGAACCACAACGGCCGAAAGAAGAGCCACAAATCGTACCGCCAGCTCGACCACAGACGGAGGATGGTACGACGAAGGGCAGCGAGGGACGGCGTTCGTACGCGAAACCAGTCGCTGTCAACACACCACCATCCCCGCCACCCACAGCCACAGCAACAGCGACGCCCACAGCGCCTACACCGGCCACTACACCCACAGCAGTGACACCCACAACACCCACCAGAACAGCAGCGGCGCGCGGGAGCGGGAGTGGACGACGGAACAGGCGCAAGTCGAAGCAGCGTCAGCGCGCAGACAGCGAACAACACCGCAAAGAGTCCCACTCAGCGTCACCACCGCCCAGCACCGCCGAGACAGCGGCAGCGGCGCATGCCAGCAACAATCACGGCAGTGATAGGACCGGTTCCGAGAGGCGTGGCGAAGACAGCGGGCAGCAGGACCCGGCAGGCCCAAGTCCAACGCGCCTCAACCCGAATGCCCCGGCTTTTCGGCCATCCCACCCGCTGACCACCGCTGACACGCCGCCAAGCGGCTCTCCAACGGCCTCTGCGTCGCCTTCTGCGCGCGCGTCTTCTGATGCTACGGCGGCGGACGCAACTCACCGGCGGCGACACCGGCCCCGACCGCCGGCACTGGCCATGGCGCCACCGCAGCCCGTGACTGCAGCGTATCCACAGCAACAACAATCACAACCACAACAACAGTATCAGTACTACTACCAGCAGCAGCATGTGGTGTACCCCACGCCGTATGGCGTGCCTATGTCGCCTTACTCCCCACATACCATGTGGCAGCAAGCGCTCCAGTCTGCCTATCCGCATGGCCCAGCAATGGCACCTGCGCTGACGCCACCGGCCACAACAGTTCCACTGTCCCCTTACGCTTACTCGCTGCCGCAGACGCCCACCCACCCACAACAACTGTCGTTTATGCCGGTGCCCGGCACTGCTTCGCTGCTCCCGAACCCCGTGCCACCAGGATATGGCGCGCTGCCTTCGCCTGGCGTTGGTGCTGTTGATGCCTATGGATACTACCAGTACCCGGTCTCGCTGGCGGCTTCGCCGTCACGGCGCCACAGCTCTGGTACGGACAGCCGCCCGCGGTCTTCGGCCTCTGCACGCCATCGCCACCACAAGCGCGGCTCGAGCAAGACCAGCAGCGACAGCGGCGAGCAGGACCGTGCAAACACCACCAGCACCACTGCAGCCTCCCCTGCGGCGACATCG